GGGCTTGGTGCTACCCCAACCACTCTATTGAGAGCAGAAGCCAGAGGATAGAGCTCTTCTCCGTTCAGCAGACTTCAAATTCATTCACATTCTTGAAGGCATTGAACTCTGCTGGGTTTGGACATAAGGGAGGACGTAAGACAAGCCTGGCTGGGAAAGGGAGAGGGGAGCAGAGAAACAGCACTCACTGTGCTTCCACTGAGCACCTAGCCACCGTCTGCCAATTACAGACAAATGGTATGATGCATGTTCATTGTAGAAATAACAGAAAACAGCGAAATTCAATGAGATGAGAAGAAAATGACCATTAATAATCTAGTTAAGCGAACAACAAAAAAGATATTACCTTTTCAGTGTCTATCTTTTTTTTTTTTTTTTTTTTTTGAGATAGCCTGTCACCCGGGCTGGAGTACAGTGGAGAGATCTTGGCTCACTGCAAAATCTACCTCCAAGGCGAAAGCGACCCTCCCACTTCAGCCTCCCAAATAGCTAAGACTATAAGTATGTGGCACCACCACACCCAGCTAATTTTTGTATTTTTTGTAGAGAGAGTCTTGCTATGTTGCCCAGGCTGGTCTTGAACTCCTGGGCTCAAGGGATCTGCCCACCTCGGCCTCCCAAAGTGCTGGGATTACAGGTGTGAACCATTGCGCCTGGACTGTCTGTCCTAGATAGCTTTTTTTTCCCAAAGGGGACTATGCCTATGAATTTATCCAAAGAACTTATTAAAATTTAGATACCTGGGACCCAAACAGATTTAAAAATTTTTTTTTTTTGACGTGGAGTCTCACACTGTCACCTGAGCTGAAGTACAATGGCGTGATCTTGGCTCACCGCAACCTCCGCCTCCCAGGTTCAGGCGATTCTCCTGCCTCAGCCTCCACCTGCCAACACACCCAGCTAGTTTTTTGTGTTTTTAGTAGAGATGGGGTTTCACTATGTTGGCCATGCTGGTCTCAAACTCCTGACCTTGTGGTCTACCTGCCTTGGCCTCACAAAGTGCTGGGATTACAGGCGTGAGCCACCACACCTGACTTTTTTTTTTTTTTTGAGGCAGAGTGTCACTCTGTTGTCCAGGCTAGAGTGCTAGAGTGTGGTGGTGCAGTCTCAGCTCACTACAACTTCTGCCTCCCAGGTTCAAGAGATTCTCCTGCCTCAGCCTCCTGAGTAGCTAGGATTACAGGTGCCTGCCACCACACCTGGCTAATTTTTGTATTTTTAGTAGAGATAGGTTTTCACCATATTAACCAGACTGGTCCAAACTCAGAATTCTGATTCTGTTCCAAATTTATTTATTTTTGGTGAGGGGAAGCATCTGGATGTGTATTTTGTAAAAATGGGATGATATGCTACATACTTGTTTGTAACTTGCCTATTCTTCTTCCTAACAACAGATTATGAACATGGTTCCCTTGTCGATGATTTTATTTCATGGTATGAGCTGAGAGGAGTGTTAAAAAAAAAAAAAAGAATGTATTTCGAGCATGTTTTCTAGTACTCTACAGTCCTTCTTTTTTATGGGTGCTATACCATCATTTATTATACCAATCCCCACTCATACGACTTCTAGGTTGTTTTCTGTTTCTCCTGTTATAATTATCCCCAGTTAACAGATGAAGACATTGAGGCTTTGATGTGAAGCTTCTCATATATGTGAAAAGCTAAGGCATGGTCAGAGGGGAGCTGGGGATGGCTTGGGTGCTGGCACAGTCCCTGGCTTCCCTCAGGGAGGGACTGAGGGACTGGGTAGAGGAAGCCCCCAAGATATAAGACATGTGACATGTCAGAGGGGAGGCAGGGGCCCTTCAGGAGGAGACCACCCTTTTCCAGGCCCTAGAACCAGGTGTGATTCCGGCCTAAGCCCTGCCGCCCTCAGGCTTCCCTCATCCCTTCCACTGCCCCCCCTCCCTGAGCCCACTCACTGCCTGCTCCATCCTTGCCAGCTTATCAATAGGTTAAGTGGTCAGGTCAGCGATATTGACCATTTGATTAGGACCTTGTCAGATCAATCCCTGGCTCATCTCGTGGGCCTCCTCCCCTGCCCACACACTCCTTCCTGTTCTTTTGCGCCAGGGAGCAGGTGGCCATAGAAGCCTCTGCCCTCCCCACACAGCACCCCAGAACCAGGAACCCCATGGCCTTTGTGGGCCATTCCTGGTCCTCTGTCTAGGTGCCCAGTTCCTGTACCTTCTCCTTGCATCCAACTGTCTTGCTCATAGTCATTAGATCTTGTTTGCTGTATGTCCCCTCCCGCTTGGAGTCTAGTCAGTCAGAGCTGCCCCCACTTGGCTGTATAACCTTGAGCAAGTAACTTTACCTTTCTGAGCCTCCATTTTCCACAGCAGTGTCATGGGATGACACTCGCCAAACAAATGTGAGATGCTGAGAGATCACACCTGCAATGGCCCACCCTGGTGCATGACTAGCAATCAGGAAATGCCAGTACTGATGCATCTGTGAGTGCCAGTGTTTCTGTCCATCTGTCTGTCAGTGGGGGTGTATGTGGGCATTCTGTGTCTGTGGGGGCAAGTGGCCCCATCATTCTTAGGTCTGTCCCAAGCCCTAGCTTGGGGCCATTCCCTGTGCTGGGCAATGCTTCAGACCCTCAAAGGAGCCAGACCCTGCCCTGCCCTCAAGGAGCTCACAGTCTGCCATGTACGTGGCAAACTGACCCCAGGACACAGCAAACCATTATATACACCAGCTGTGAGGAGACTTGAGGGGCCAGGACCAAACCCTGAGCTTGCTTTCCCTCTGTGAACAGTGGAATCTACCCTTTATGTGGCACAGCTGCAGGAAATGTAGGCTTTGGGGTCGGACACATAGTTTCAAATCCTGGCTGTCACATCAGTTTCAATTCCTGTGCCTGGTAACTGTAGGCCAGCTGCTGCCCTTCTGTGTTCCTCAGAGTCCCTATCTGTACAATGGTAGAAGATATCTTTTAAATAGTTTCCAGTCTTAAGACACTGCTGGGAATACAGCTCCCAGATCCCATGGACTGTCTCTCTACTTGGAGATGTTGTCTGCTTGGGAGGGGGGTCCTCTCCCCTCTGTTGGAGGGCATATTGGGGTTTGGTAACCTGGGAGGTGGGATGAGAGTTGGAGGTAGATATGCCAGGGGTAGTGCTGCCCATGGGCACCACAGCCCCAGGTAGCAGAGGGTGGGGAGACTGAAGTGTGGGCCCTGCTGGAGGGAAGCCCAAGGTAGGGGCGCTGCCTGGGGGAAGACCCCAGCCCTAAGGCACTGTCTGACTCTGCTCCCCCACCCGGGCCTGGGGATTCCCTTGCCCGCCCCACCATCACTTACACCAATATTGACGGTTAATGCCGTGTCGCTACCGTGTTCAACACTCAGCGCGGCTAATTGTTTTGACTGGGAATCGGCAAGGCGATTAAACGCCATCGATTTTGCCCTGCGCGCTGCATCGATTTTTAAATTTCCTATTGATCCTGGCCCTAAATCTCCTTAACCAAGACCTCACCGTGGAGATGACAGCCGCTGATTAGCTCCAGGGCGGGGGTTGGGGGGAAGCAGCCCCTGAGGGGGGAGCAACCCTAGCTCCTCCCTCCCCCCAGGAACTAGGGGTTCTGGTCCCCTACTGCCCCTGAAGATTAAGGCCCAGAGTGAGAAAGGACAGATGGAGGAGGAAGTGGGGAGACCCCTGGCCCTTTTTACCTCCCTTTTTCTTCTTGTTTGGGCTTCCTTCATTTCTACCTGTCTGTGTCTCCCCATCTCTTCTCTTTCTCTGTTTTCCTCTTTCTCAGTCTATCTTTTCTTTCTCCGCTTCCTCTTCTTGAACTCTGGTGCCTCCCTTAATTCCTCACTCTTCCTTCCTGCAGGGTTGTGGAGAGGCTCAGCAAACCCTCTTTGTGGATGGGCCTCCTGACCTCTTGCCTACCTCTCTGTTCTCTCCATCTTGGACACAGCAGGTAGAAGGACCTTTCCAAAGGCAAACGGATTGTATCCCCCTCCCTCTCCAACGAAGCCCTGGCTTCTTGGACTAGGCACTTGAGGCCCTGCAGGGAGCAGCCCCTGCAATCTGGAAGCCTCGTTCTTCCTCACTTCTCTCATTGAACCCCGGACAGGCAAAGGCCTGGCATTCTTTTTCCTTGCACCTGGTTCTTTCTCTGACTAAAGTTTGTCTTCCAGGTTCAGCTTGGGTGTTGTTTCCTCCTTAAGTCTTCTGTGATCTCACCCAGGATGCCTGCAGCACCCTCTGCTTACCCCAGCGTATTGGCATTGGCTCTTCCTTCTGTCTCCCCAACTTGCCTGTGAGCCCCATAATAGAGCAGAGACCTTGTCTAATTCATCTCTGTCCCCCACCACACTTGATTCAGAGCCAGAGAAACCTCAATATTTGTTAATGAACTAAATGCATAAATGAATGGACAAATGTACAACTCAGAAGCCAGAGAAACCTCAATATTTGTTAATGAACTAAATGCATAAATGAATGGACAAATGTACAAGTCAGAAATATCATTATGAGTTTTATTTTTATCTCCCACAGCACATGGGTACCTATTAACGAGTAACCCTTTCAAATTTCTTTCTCATTTGATCCTCCTAGCAGTCCTTTGAGATAAACAGTTTAATCAATTAATTCCTCTATTTACCTATCTATCACTTAGTCATCCATGATGCACTATTGAGCATCTCAAATTTGCCAGGCCCTCTGCCAAACAGAAAAGCTGCAAGATGCAGTCCCTGTACTTTAAGAAGCTTCCAGTCTGATGGGAAAATGAATGTTCCACAATGGCAGGCACCAGTATGCCCATTTATGAGATGGGGACACTGAGGCTCGGAGGCCAGAAATGACCACTACAGACAACAAGTGGCTGATTGGACCTGAGTCCCAGGCACCTGACTCCACAGTTCGCCAACTGCAGCTCCTGATGATGTGACAGGAAGAGGGTTCCTCCGCTAGAGGAGTGCATCATCCTGCATGAGGGTGAGATGAATCCTCTGGGATGTTGACTGCAGTCTTCTCTCTTTCCAGGTTCTCGACTGGACTGGGTTGGTGGCCTGAATGTATTAGCTTCACTGCGTCTGCCCAAGAGGTAAGGACTGTGGCCTCAGAGTTTTGCTTAATGATGCACTAGGGATCCTGTTTTCTCACAGAAGTCCCTGCTTTCCCATCCTTGTCTCTGGCCTCACCCTGGGGATTGCTGCCCCTCTCCACTCTGGCCACTCAGAGATTAGAATCTGACTGCTTTGTTTTCACCCTCCATGGATCCTGTGGCTTTTGTGTCAAACAAGTGGTTCTTGGTGTTTGTGACTATAGGTGTTTCTGCTGGTGAGCGTTAGGACTTAGTAGGAGTGAGATAGGGGTAACTTGGTGGCTTAGATCACAGCTTTGGGGTCAAGCACACCTATGTTTAATCTCTTTTCCTGACTTCAAGGGACTTGGGAAAGTTGGAGCCTCCATTTCCTTATCTGTAAATGGGAATACTAATAGAATCCACCTTAAGTGCCATCCTGAGAGCAAAAGGAGACAGAGGAAGAAGAGCCAGGTGGCTGAGTGATCCTGGACATGGCTCAGTTTCTCCATCTGTCAAAGGAGGGTAATTAATAGGATTTACCATGCAGAGGTGGTTTGACGATGAAAGTATGTATTTCCTAAAATTGTGTAGCTGGAGGAAGTGGGAGCTTGAAATATGGCTGGAAGCATTCCCCTGAACAAAGAAGGTTTTATGAAGCCCCTCCCTAAAGCCCACTGAGACTCTCAGGTAGAAGTGGTAGTTATCCTGTTGCCCACCTCTGTGGGAAGCAGGGGCTCTGGCCATTTGCCTTTATGTTTGCTCCAGTTGGCTTGATGAGGCCCTGGCATTGAACATCTAGGGAGCAGGGTAGACAGGACTTCTGGGGTGGAACGCCCTCCTACTGCCACCCCTATTCCCACCATCGAAGCTTAACCCACAGGCCTCAGGACCCCAGGGAGGCCTCTGGGTGCCCTCGTTGGACTCCTACCCAGGTGTGCTTTGCTATACCAGGAATCACAGACTCATTTTAACAAGCAGATGGAAGCTGTAGCCCAGAGTTTGCAACCCGGTATTGTAGGGACTGTGATGGACTGGAAAATGCATGGGTTGGGGAGCTGCTTTTTAGCTCCACTGACTGTTCTCATGCACAGATGCAACCCTGACTTACCAGTTTTTGATTTTTCAAGAGAAGCCAGAAACCCAGACTTGTGTGTGACGTCTTTCAATCTTTAAATGTTGGTGACTAATGCAAAACTTCCAAAATCTCCTTTGGTCCAAACCACATGTTTCAGGCAACCTTTGGCCCATAGATGTCTAGTTTTGCAACAGTACAGAGCATCTCCCAGGAAAACACATACCTACGTTTACCCAGTTGTGCTACACTTTGGGATGATCACAGATCCCCTGAAGCTCATTCATGGACCCCTGTTATCACTGCTGAGGAACATGAGAATATTCATTCCAGAACATGTCATTTCTCTAGCATGCTTTTCTCCAGGGAACTGGAGTTGCAGCTTTTCCAGGAATCCTCACATCCTCAAAAAGAGGGTCAAGGAGTTTCCACATTGCAGAATTAGTTTGGGAGCTAGAGACTGGCTTTGAGGAATGCCTGAAATCTGGGCTGAAATGTTTCTAGTTGGGTAGAGGTTACAGTCAGGTCTGTGATTTTATTTCTTTGCCTTCAAATAGATGTTCATTAAATATCCATGATTTCATGGACATATGGGTGACTGACTTGGTAACACATGTAATCATAATAGGGCTGGTACATTCCATTGAAGAAACTGATATTTATTAGGGGCCACTTTTGTGTGAGGGCCTGTTCTGGGCACTTTGCTTTTTTTTTTTTTTTTTTTTTGATTTTTCTGAGACAGAGTCTTGCTCTGTTGCCCAGGCTGGAGTGCAATGGTGCACTCTTGGTTCACTGCAACCTCCACCTCCCGGGTTCAAGTAATTCTCCTGCCTCAGCCTTCCAAGTAGCTGGGATTACAGGTGTGTGCCACCATGCCTGGCTAGTTTTTGTATTTTTAAGTAGAGACAGGGTTTCATTATGTTGGTCAGGCTGGTCTCTAACCTCTGACCTCGTGATCTGCCTGCCTCAGCCTACCAAAGTGTTGGGATTACAGGTGTGAGCCACTGCGCCCGGCTGGCACTTTGCTTTTAATCCTCACTGCAACACTGTGAAGTGAGTGTTGGCAACTGTTAAAAGAGAAAGAAACTGAGGCACAGAGCCTAAAGGCAACTTTCCTACAGTCATCCAACATGTAAGCAATAGAGTCAGAATTTGAACCTGGGTTTGCCTGAACTTAAAGCTCTCATTATTGTACCTCACGAAAACCCACCATAGTTTTTGGTGTCTCCACAGAGTGGCAAATTTTTGCACTTTGGGAATGAATTTGATTTTGGAGACCATCTGAAGTTGGATTTAGCTCTGATGAATTTAGCAATGAAGGGTTTGGATAATACTGGGGCCACTTGGTTTTTCTTTTTTTTTTTTTTTTTGAGACGGAGTTTCACTCATGTTACCCAGGCTGGAGTGCAATGGCGCGATCTCGGCTCACCGCAACCTCCGCCTCCTGGGTTCAGGCAATTCTCCTGCCTCAGCCTCCTGAGTAGCTGAGATTACAGACATGCGCCACCATGCCCAGCTAATTTTTTGTAGTTTTAGTAGAGACGGGGTTTCACCGTGTTGACCAGGATGGTCTCGATCTCTTGACCTCGTGATCCACCCGCCTCAGCCTCCCAAAGTGCTGGGATTACAGGCTTGAGCCACCGCGCCCGGCCGGCCACTTGGTTTTTCAATAGAAACTAGAGACAGTTATACACTAGAGAGATGCTTTGCTGATGGAGTTTGTAAACTGGCCTTGAAGGCTGTTGCCAAAATATCAGAAGATTGAAGAAAAAGTTCAGCCTCCTGAGGAGACATATTTGAAGGAAGCCATAGTCTTTTAGGTATAGTTTTGTTATGAAACAACAACTACAATAAACACTTGCTCTGTCTTTCCTTTATAGTCACACTTGGAAGGTGAGCGTTCCCCCAAACGTGTCTGGAGGCCTCCTCAATGCTCTGCATGGGAGCTGGAGCCCCAGGATTAGTGAGAGAACCCCCTCCCAGCTGTGGAGTGGTGGTAGCCTCTGCTGCCCGTGCTCCCATGTGACTCCTCATTCTCCTCTCCCTCTCCTCTTCTGGCCCTTCTTCCAAATCTCTTCCTACCCATGCCAGGGTCTTCTTTCTACTCTGGGTTGGTTCACTTCTCTACCTCCTCAGCTCTCCATCTAAGGATCCCCAACTCTGAGGGCCTTTCCTGACCCCTCGGCTGGATGATGCCCCCTTTTCCCTCCTGAACACTATCACCATATCTGATTATATTCTATATGGTTAGTGTCTGCCCCCAGAAGCCTCATGGTGAGGGGACCTCTCTCTGTTTGTCTAACATGTCTGTCTACACTCAGTCCCTGGCACAGTGTAAGTGCTCAGCAAGCATGAGTTGAATGAATAAATAAGTGAGCAAACAGACACATAAACCCAGATCCATCCATTTATTCCTTCAGCCAACATTTTCTGGGATTCCTTGTGTGCTAGGCCTTGTACCAACATCTGGAGATGCAGAGAAGTGGGAGATCTGTGTGGCCTTTGAGGGGCTTTCACGCTGGTGGGGGCTTGGGCACAGATGCCACCAACCTGAACCAGGGGCTGCAGGGTGCTGGGTTAGGGGAGAGACAGACTTACCGGCCTAGGGGGACCTCAGGAATTCTTTGGGGGTAAGGGGAGAACTCCTGAAAGGTAAGGAGAAGCCGAGGGCTAAGTTACATTTTGGGTAGATGGGAAGGGGTGTGGGCTAACTGGACTCTTACTCACTATTGGGGACCATGGATGCTGACCTGGCCTCAGAGTCCTCACAGCCAGCTATAGTCCCCTGGGTATCTGGTGCCTTCCAAGTGCCAGGGCAGGAGCAGGGCCATGGTACCACTTTGTCTTTCTTTCCCCTCTGTCCTTCCATCTTTCCGCAAAAAGACACAATGGCCTTCGATGTGGAGTGGTCCTGGGAACTCAGAGGTAACTCAGACATAAGCAGCAGGGATGTGCCCCAGGGTGCTCACACACTCCGAGAGAGTCCTGAATGCTTCAGAAGCAGAAGCTTCAGTCTAGGTGAAAGGCTTCCATCCTGGGTCTGTGAGGTGACATGGAAGGAACAGAACCCAGGGCTGCATAAGGAGGATGTTTAGCCGCACATGGGGACGTTCTCTCACAGGCAAGAGTATAGGTGTGATGGAGGGCTGACCTGGGATCAGAGGTTTGGCCCTTCAGGGCAGTCAGGTTCCACAGACAAGCTGGAGAAGCCAGGGGGTGGCATCAGGGACTTGTCCACATGCCCCAGGCCTAGTCTACTTCCTTCTGAATTGCACCTGGAGGGCTTTGGCTAGAGGAATAGGGTGTGTGCTGTTCCATATGTGGCTTGAAAGATGGGCTGGGCTGGGACGGAGCTTCAGTGTAGAGGCAGCCCTTGGATACTGGTGGGCTATGGCTGTGGGGTGGGACCCATAGGGTGGTCTGTAAATTGCAGCTGTGTGATCTGGGCGGTGGGCAGGGCCACTCCTCGCTGAATGTGGAGTCCAGATTTGAGGGGCTGTTCACCATTATGGGTTGCTGGGAGGTGGCAAGAGATTGCTTGATCCTTTTGGCTGCCTGTGCTCTGTCACTGGGTGGGTGGAGATAGCTGTGGACTGGGAATATTTGTCAGCCATGGGGTGGGAATTACAGATGTGTAGGAGGTAAAAATGGCTTGAACTCTGAGCTAGTTTGAGGACCAGTGGGTCCCTGGAATCCCTGACAGTCCCATAGCAAATGAAGGTCAAGTGCCAACCATCCTAGTAGGCATGGAGCCCCAGGTGCCAAGAGCAGGCACTTGGCTCTGACTTCAAATAGAGAGACATTCCGCAGGGCTCTTCGAAGCACTGGTGAGGACTGGTAGGCAGAGAGAAGGCCTCAGAGAATGACCCTGGATGTTTTCAGCTGCACTTATTAGAAATCTCGATGCCCGCCCCACTCCCACCCCACGGTTGTTGTGCTCACAATGCCCTGCTGGGTCTCCGCTCCTGGCTTTCCTTTCTTTCCTCTTCCTCTCCTTTTGGCTCCAGCCGCAGCATCATCTTTCTTCCTTTTCCTGGTCTTCATTATGTGTCTTGGCCTCTCCATTCCTCCCTGGTCACCTCCTTTTTCTCTGAGCTGGAGCTGTGTATTTAGTGTTGCCTGTGGGTTGAGTCTTAGCTTTTGTCTCCAGAGAGAGCCACACTGAGATCTGCAGATCAGGGAGATCCAGAGATCAGGCCTGGTGTGGGTGCGAGGCCAGGGAAGGAAAGAGAGGAGGAAAAAAGGTGCTTGAGAGAAAAACAAGAAAGGAAGTATTTACCTGCTCCTGGCCACTCCAGGACAGCTTCTGAGGTCCCTTACACAGCAATCCACCCTTGCTTTTCTTGAACTCTCAAGTAATCCTCCTGCCTCAGCCTCCTGTGTAGCTGGGCCTACAGGTACAGGCTAAGACCACTGTGCCCACCCTTGCTTTTCTTGGGCATGAGGTGAATAGGGGGCTGGAGGGATGTCTAAGAAAGGGGAATCTAGAATATACCAGATGGGAGTGGAGGGAGAGGGAGACCCAGAGAGCAAGCACCTCCAGACAGAAACACAGAGAGGGGAATGGAGCAACTGGAGAGGCGCCAAGAGGAACAGGGAGCAACGGAAAAGTCAGAGGCAGGAAAGCAGAGTAGGGGACTCAGAGACAGAAAGGGACAGAGAAAAAGAGAGAGTGTGTGCTTTGGAGCTGAACTCATGAGAGTGCATCAGAGAAAGATGAAGGCAGCCAGGATGAAGGCAGGCGACAACGAGAAAGAAAAAAGCAGTGCAAGGCAGCTGCAGCCGAGGCAGGTGGGCAGGACTGTGGGGCGGGAAGTAAGGACCTCACACCTTGCCCCCAACCCCCCAAGCTGGCCATGCCTGGCAGAGTACGAGGAACTTGATCAAGGCCCTGGTGTATGTGGACTGTGTGTGAAGGGTGAGGTGACAGTGTGTGGTAAGGAGGGATGCACTGCTCCCCCTGTCCCTGTGATCAGGTTCCAGTTGGCTCTGGCTGGTCCCTGAAGCTACTTGAGATCATCCCTGTCCATTCATCCTGTCCCCTCCCTACCCTGGCTCACAGGGGCCCAGAGGAACGTGGAAAAGGCTTTAGCATCCCTGACTTCTGGCCTGGGGAATGGGGAGAAAGATGTGTGTGTGTGTGCGTGTGTGTGTGTGCGTGCATGTGTGTGCGTGCGCAGGGGGGTGGGGAAGAAAAAGATCACTTTGGACATGGTGCCCCTTCAGCTTCTCTCTAGCTTTGCCATCTGAGAGTCTCTAGTGTGTTACCAACTCCCCTCCACCACTATCTGCCGTCTGTCTTTTATCTCTCTGGTCTCCTTTCTGTCTCTCACTCTCACTCAGCCTTTCTGTTCCTCTCTGTGCATTGCCCTTTCTAGTTCTCCCTGCCTCTGGCTCCCGTTCTCTCTTTATCTGTGTCTTCTCCCTGTGTGGCTCCATCACTGGGTTTTCCGCTCTGTTGTGTGCTCTTTCTGTTTCTCTCTCTGTCTCTCTGGTCTCTGTCTCTGTCTCTCTGTCGTGCTCTCTGCATTTGCCCTTCCTCTGCTCTTTTTCTCTGCCTTTGCTTTCTGGTTTTGGTGTCTGTGTCCCTTCTAGTCTCTTTCATCTTCTGAATCTGCTTCTCTGTGCGCCTCTCTGTGTGTCCCTCTGTCTCTCACTCTGCCGATCTTTCTCTTCTCGTGTCTCGGGGTCTCTGCCTGTCCATCCCTGCCTCTGTGTGTGTCTCTCTGGCTCCCCCTCTCTGCCCCCCCCCTTTTTTCCTGTTTCTAACACCCACACTCACATCCTACCTCTGGAGTAATTGCTTTTGTCTGGGTTGGACTGGACTTGTGGTGGGGGGAGGGTGGGGGGAGCGGGTGGCGCTGGGGGGGTTGGGAGGGACGGAGGTCGCTTGGTGGAGTTGAGGTGGCATCCACCAAAGCAGGGGTGTTGAGGAACAGAGGTACAGTCTGCCTAAGGTGCTGGGGGAGGTGGGGGCCTGGGCCATCCATCCTGGCAGGGGTCTGGGGTCTCTGGCAGGGAAGGGAAAGAAGGCAGGCAGGCCCGGACATTGGGATTTGGAGATGATGTAGTGATAAAACAGACTAGCCTGTGTCTCTGTGGCAGCCCCTGCTGCCTCACCACCCTCCCCCACTCAGAGACTCAGGGTTGTAGCCTCTATACACACACACCCTGCCGTGTACACAGAGTCACCATGACACACACAAGGACACACCCAGAGCCTCTAGCCCACTTGTGGAAACACATTTGGCCGTCGGCACACAGGGACACACAGCAACACGTAGACATACAGAGAAACTACACGGACTCTCCGACACTCATGAGGAGAAAGCGCTTCCAGTACACCCAGAGACCATGGCGCAGATCCCTGAAGCACACACAGCTGCCCACAGGCATAGGCACGGATCCACACGGGAACCTATGGAGGCTCACGCGCAGCAACATCCATGCTTAGACACGTTCTGGCAGGGGCACACGCACACCAACACACACAGACTTCCCAGAGAACATGGGAACACATAGCCACCCCATTACCTGGGGACAGAGGGGATCCCTGAGGTGCTCCTGGGATACATCCCCAAGGGACAGACAGAGACTTAGGGATACGGAGGGTCAGGGAGACACTAGTGGAAGTGTATACACAGCCACCCTGTGCTCCTGGGACACATCCATGAACTCATGGTCACAAACAGACATGACTCAGGGGCCAAGACGCTCGGTTCTGTGCAGTCCCAGAGTCCCACAGCAGAGCCTGAGGACACATGCACACCCTACGTACATGGCAGCTTGCACATCACAGACCTCTCCATGGAACCTCCTGTCCGAAGCTTCACAAGCCTCCCGCCCCCACCACACATGTGCAGGCCAGACCCTGGGGTGAGGCCAAGGCAGCTGGTGGGGGCAGCCGGCAGCTCTGAGGGTAGGCACAGGCTGGCCTTAGGGATTGCCCCACTGTTCTTTGCATCCATTCACCGTAGCCTACCCCAGCACCCTCCAGACCTTCCCCTGCTTCATGGGCTCAGGACAGTGTTTCCCTGGACCCCTAGGTGCCCCCTGCCCACCTCCCAGAGCTCTGTCCATCACACACCTTCAAAGGGCCCCATCTCCCTGAGCTGCTCCCAACTGAGGGGATGCCTGCTTTCTCCCAGGTGGCCTGTCCCTCAATTTATCCCAACCCCCTTACCTGCAAGTGTGCCCCAATCCCCATCTGCTTCCCTGCCCACTCCCATACTCACCCCCTCTCCTGGCTGTCCAAGCTCTCAGCCTCCCTAAGCTCTCCCGCTGTAGGGAAGTGGTAGGGGGTGCCTGGCCTCTCAGAGGCCTGGGTAAGGGGTACATTACGGTGGGGGACCTGGGTGCGGCTCCTGGAAAAGGAAGCAAGGCAAGCAAGGGAGAGAGAGAGAGAGGCAGAGGCAGGCAGCCAGCCAGCCGGCTTTATATCCCTGCCGTATTGATCCACCATGTCACAGCCTCGGTCGATAGCCAGCTGAGAAAGAGAGAGGGAGAGAAGGGAGGGGAGGTTTGGGGGAGGGCAGCCAGGACCCCTATAGTCCTCTGCCCATCTGGGTCCTCCTTGGTAGGCTGTGGGGTCATGTGTGAGCCTATCCCACCCCCGCAAAAGAGGCCTGCCTTATCCTCCCCCTCTTCTTGGCTGTGGCCCTCTCTCTAAGAGCCACCTCAGCCTTCATAGGAGAATTTAAAGCATAAAAGATCTGCCCGTTTCTTTCTGTTTCTTTGGAGGCTCCTTATCCCTGTGGGCATGGGGGTTCATGGCTGTTCATTGCCTCAGCTACCTTTTGTCCCCTATGGTCAGACTGGGTAGGTGGGAGGCTCTAATGAAATGTCATGGGTGGCTTGTGACTGACCAGAGTGTGAATCCTCCTCCTTCACTGTGGCCATGGGCAAAAGGGGAAAACTGTCTGAAGTCCTCTTCCCCAGCCACTGCTAGCCAGGTACTCAGGAGCACCCTGTCTATGTTGGTTTCCTGCCCTTTCCAACAGATGTTAAGTTTCTTCCCACAGCTGTGCCAGGCCAGTGTTAGAGGTCACATTTAAACTCTTTTTCTTCTGGCTGCCTCCCCTCCCCACTGGTCTAAGTGAGGAGAACACTTAGCCTCACTTTTTTTCTCAGCCTCCTCTTCCCTCTCCATAGAACCTTCTACCATCTGCCCCCACTAAACCTCCCCTGACCTGGGTGGGGAAGGCAGGAAAGGAAGAAGCCTTCCCTTAGTGGGAAGAGAAGTGAGGGGAGAGTCTCTGGGACAGTGTTGAGAACCCTGGGCCTGGGCTGTCTCCCCTCTCTGGGCCTCAATTTCCCCCCACTCCCATCCAACCCTGCCCAAGCTGGAAGGTCTGTATGGCTCTGGGATCCATAGGGATTGGTGCAGATAGGGGGCAGGGCCATCCAGAGGGTGAGAGCAGGGCCAGAGGGGTGCCTGCTGCCCCTCCCTCAGCCAGGACTGCCTGGGTCCCAGGTGCATCCCCCCAGCCCCCAGCTCCCCAGGGCTCTTGTTCTTTGTCTGTCCAGATCCCCTTCTCCTCCCAACCCAGCCTCCGAGAGGTTGAGGAATCACCTTAGCCTTGACCCGAGGGGGAGGGCAGAGGAGGGGCAGGCGGCCCCCACCCCCACCTCCTGCCCATGGCCATCCCCACAGCCCCTCTCCTCCCCGCTTCCCTAAGTACCAGGCCATCCCGCCAGCATCAGGCCAATGCTCCCTTTGTTAGGAAGGGGGAGGGGAAAGAGACCAGCTGAGGGGACGAGGCCTGACCCCCGACCTCTCCCCCTCCCTCCTCCCATCTGGGTCCCCAGGGGCTCAGAGTCCCCTTGACGGACAGTTCTGACCATCAGCCAAATGGCTCCAGGAGTGAGCAAGGGGCCAGGTAGGGGGGAGGGGAGAAAGGCCTGACCAGGGTCCTCAGCCCACCACGGATGTGTGTGTGGGCGTTCTGAGGTTGGAAGGAGGCCCGTAGGAGGGCTGGCAGGGGGAGGTGGTCACCCACAGAAGACAGGCTCTAGGAGGAGCCTGGTTGGATAGGGGGATACGGAAGCAAAGTGGGGCTCATCCCAGAGCCAGCAGATCTGGGCACCCTGTGGATAGGGGCCTGGCCCAGGCAGACTCCCCCACCCCACCCCCACCCTGCCTGCGGCATTGGGAGTGCAGCGAGTTTTTAAAAAAATTAAAAAAAAAAAAAGGAGCAGGAGAAGCTGGGGGAAAAATATATATAAGAAAAAATATAATAAGAACTAAGCGGTGGCTGCAGGAGAGAGAAAGGGCAGGAGGCGGGGAGGGGGGCGCAGGGGGGAGGGCGGCTTGGGCACTGGTCGCTGCGAAGGCCGGCCGCCGGCCTCTGCGCTGAGCCCTCCGCGTCCCCCCTGCCGGCCCCCTCCAGCCCCGATCGATCCAGTTTCTTGGCAATAAAGCATTTTTATTGTCAGCTGCCCTGAATGCCAAATGTGAGCCTGGTCTTGCTCCCCCCCAACCTGCTTCCTCACCACCCCTCCCCCAGCCCTCTCCACCCCTCCCCTGCCATTCCCCCCACCGCAGAATCAGCATCGTCTATCACCAAGACCCCCTCCTCTTCCTCCTCATCCATGTCAGCTGCAGTGCCCGCACATCTTCAATAATCCACCAAGCCCTCCACCCCTCATCTAGGCCTCTGTGCTCCCTTCCCTAACCCCAAACCTGCAGGGGAGCAGAAAGGTGGGCTTGGGATGGGTGGTCTTGGGAGGCACAGGGTTGGGCAGGAGGAGGTTCAGAGGGTGTTGGGGTGGCCAGGTAGGGAGATAATGGTCACAGGTTGAGGGAGGTATTAGCCAAAGTCAGGATAGCCAAACCCTGTTCTTCAGTAGCCAGCAGGGGACAAGAACAGGTAGGGTGTCTGTGGGCACCAGGCACTGGAAAGGGGAGAGAGACCCCAGTCCCTCTGCCCCTGCTTGCAGCACCTCAGCTCTTAGTCCCTCAGGGCCTGTCACTGCCCCTTCCACACTGAACTTGGCCCTTTTCTCTGGGAGGCAGCTGGATGCAGGTGAAGGGAGAGGGCTGGGAGCTGGGTACCTTCCCATGCGTCAGTCTCAGCTCTCTGCCTGGAGCAGCCCCTTCAGGAATGGGGATGACACCACACACCCTGCCAGACTGCTGGTGTGAGGGGCAGAGGAGAGGGTATTGGGAAGCAATTTACAGAAGGCCCTGGTGGCCTCACCTCGGCTTGCTCTTCCCCCTCCTTCCCTCTTTCTTTTCTCTCCTGTTTTCTTTGTCTCTCTTTCTGCTGTTCTCTCTCTCTGCCTCTTTATCTGCATCTTCCTGTCTCTGTCTCTGACTCTGACTTTCTTTCCTTTATTGCTGCCTTTCCCTCCAGGGATAAACCTCCATATACTTCTCTGTTCCACCTTTATAGTCCCCAGTTACTCTTTCCCCACACCCCTCTTTTCTCTGCCCTGCTGCATGCTTTTCACTCCATCTTTTTATACCCTGCCTGTGCCCCACATCCCTTGTCTCAGCCCCATTTCTCTTGGTTCATCCCCCCTCCCACAGCTATAGAAAGAAGCAGAGGCTTGGGTCTTTGGAACATCAGCAGAACATGCAGAAAAAGGATCTTAAGCCCCTCTTCTCTCTCTTGGTAGTGTCAGTGTCTAGAAGAGTTCAAAGAAGTCTACACTCACAGAGATGGAGCTGGGAACTGAGGGGTGAGGCCCGTCTGTCTGCCACAGACATGCTGTATTCCTTTGCTTAAGTCACTTGCCAGCCCTGAGCATTGGTTTCCCATGAAAAGCGAGCTGCTCCAAGGGTGTTTACAGCCTCCTCTGTGGATTATGTTGCCTTGAAAGCCCAGGTTCCTCTGTCTTCTAGGGAGGGAGTTTGGGGCAGGATCTTCACGCTGGGGAACATGATCGCCCCTCCTCTCACCTTCTTGTGGTGGCTTGGGAAGGTGAAGCTGCAGATATGGGCAGGTCTAGTGTGCTAAGACTTTTACTCTTGGTCTGGGCAGGAGAGAGGCCTGACCAGGATCATGCTTTAAGGAATATGGGGTGTGGATTTAAGATGCCTGGCTCCATGTCCATTGTCAGCTCCCCAGAGCAGGGGCCATGACATCACTGGTCCCTGGCTCATTGCCTGCCACACAGACGGGGTTCAAGAAACATTTGTGGAGCAAGTGAGGAAGAGCCTGTGTAACAGTACAGGCTAGGGTGGGGAGAGGGGAGGAGCAGGTCCTTCATGGGAGGCATAGAGGGAGGAGAAGAGGGATTCAGAAAACTTTGGGTTGAATTGAGGGGAAGTTGACAGATGGGAGCACTTGGACCAGGAGGAGGATCTCAGGATGACCGTGGGTGTCCTTTTCAAGCCTTCATCCTACACCTAGGACCAGTTACCCCCACCCTACACCAACAAGCTCTACATTAGTGCAGCTTTCACAGTTCCCCACCTGCAGCCTCACAGCTACCTGGTTTGCAGAGGGGAGTGAGGATCTCTGTGTTAGAGATATCCCTCTGATGTGGGAAGACGCCATTTGTGTTTCAAAGGTGTGTACAGATCCATTTATTTACCCACGTGCCATATGCTTGCTTATACCTGAAACAGTGCTTGTTTTTCACCAGTTATGAATTTTTTGTATTACCTTTAGACAAAAGTTTTCCATTTAGCACAAGGCTTTCCTAATAGAAGACAGAAAGGTCCCTCTGGGCTGTTTGGGAAAGACCAGGGTGTGACCACAAGAACCAGGTGTCAGCTGGGGCAGGGCTGGGTCCTGGGATGGAGATAAGGTTGGGAGGACTGGCTGAGGAGTATGGGATTCAGGCCAAGGCCAGAAAACCTGGAAAGAGTTGAGGGCTTTGGGGGTGAAGGATGAAGAGGGAGCAAGAGATCAGGGGACGCTTCTCCTGCAAAGACCATTTCACCACCTGCCTGGCTGCCAGAGGAAGGGCCCCCTGGACAGGGGCTGCTCTTTAGAGTTCAGAACATGTCCAGGTTTCCCACTGCCTGCCTTGAGAAGGGATCCAGGCACAGATTTGGAGTCCCTTTCCATTTGGCTCCAGTAGCCCCTCCTGTGAGTCCTCTTGGACTGACTGCTAGCCTCTTATCATCCTTCACTCATGCCGTTCCCTCACTGGAAGTGGAACCATTCTGGCAGCTGCTTATGTACTGCCTTCTGTGTGCTAGGCTCTCGGCCTGTGCTCCTGCTGACCTCTGACCACCCTAGGGTGTAGGCATTTTTATTATTCCCACTTTGCCAATGGGGACATTGAGGCTCAGAGAAGGGAAGTGACTTGCCTAAGATCTCTAGCCAGTGAGAGGTAGAGCCAGGACTGTGATTCTGGCTGGCCCTCTGAATTAGTTTCACTCATAAATGTTTATCAAGAGCTCACTGCTAGGGATCAAGCTCCGTTGGAGATGCTCAGGAACCTTGCCTGCCTCTGTATGAGGGGTACAAATCCCAGCTCTTCCATGAACTCATCAGGACACCCTGGGAAGGGGGCTTCTCGTATCTGAGCCTTATTTCCTCCTCTGGGTGATAACTACTACCTCATAGTGGTCAGGGAAAGAGGACATACAAAATGCAGTGTCACCTGACAAATGGCCATGACCTCTTCCCTCTTCCTCTTCTCTCTGAATCCTGCCCATCCTCTAGGTTCCAGGTCTTTTAAGCTTTTATGTTTGTAGAACTTTTTTTCCCAAAACACTGTCAATATTCATTGACTATTCAGATCCTCATCACTACCTTGTAAGGGAGGAATTATTATCTTGATTTTACAGAAGTAGAAACTGAGGCTTTGAAGACTTAAGTACTCTGCCTCAGGTGCTTGTCCCTGTGCAGGATCCATTTAAGTCATTCTTTCCATGTGTCTGTTGAGCACCCATTATGTGCCCAGTGTTTGTTGGGCACTAAAGATGTAGCAGGGAGCAGAACCAGCACAGCATACTTTCATGGAGTTGACAACTAGAGAGGATGCAGATCTTTTTTTTTTTTTTTTGAGATGGAGTTTCACTCTTCTTGCCCAGGGTGGAGTGCAATGGCGCGATCTTTGCTCACTGCAACCTCTGCCTCTCGGGTTCGAGTGATTCACCCGCCTCATCCTCCCAAAGTGCTGGGATTACAGGCATGAGCCACTGCGCCCAGCCTGGGGATGCAGATCTTTAAGTGCAAATATATCAGTCAAATACAAAATCAGAAACTGGTAAGTCTGACCCGAAGAATAGACTAGAATAGGGAGCCAGGAGAGAGGGAAAGGTTATTTAAGCCAAACCTTAAAAGACGAGTAGGATTTTTAACAAGGTAAAGAACACAGGAAGAGTGTTCCAGGCAGAGGGAATGGGACATGCAAAGGACCTGGGGTTGCAAAGAGCGTGGTCTAAAGAACAGAGAGGAGACAGCATGGCTTGGAGCAGGGTAGGCAAAGAGGAGAGTGATGGGGGAAGAGATGAGAGGTGTCAGCAGGGGTCAGATGACATAGGACTTTGTAGGTTGGGTTAAGGTGCTTGAATTTTATTCCCAAACATGGGAAGCCCCTGGAGAATCTTAAGCAAGGGAGTGACACCACCTGATTACGTTTTAGAAAGACCCTCTCTGGGGGCTGGAGGGAGACAAGACTATCTGAGACAGGCATGGAAGAAGGGACACCATCGGGGAGGAGGCCACTGAAGTCACTTGGGCCAGAGGTGGTGGTGACCTGGACTGCAGTGGGAGGAGTAGAGGAACCAGAGAGCACTTTTGGAATTGGTGACAATATCAAGGCTCAAAGAAGTGGAGAGCAGAGAGTGAGAGTCTGACCCTTCCACACCTGAGCTTTTCCTCTTAGCAGGTCAGGTGCTACTTTTTCCCTAGGACACTGCGGGAAGCCTCCATGAGGCAGGTGCCTGGGTTGCTTCTATTTGGTATTCTCCATGTGAACCCCAAAGTGCCCCCAAAGTTGGCACTGAGAAGTGTGTTGCCAGACCAGGATCTTGCATAGATGTGAATGAGAGGCCTTCACTTAGGAGACTCCACGGAGGAGGTGAGCTCTGAGTAAGGTATTATAGGAAATGAATAGATTTGAAGGTGTTGGTTCTCCTCACAGCTGGTCTTTCTGTATGAGCTTAGAGAATCTGCTAGGGC